CTCAGTAGATTTTAGTTTCTTCTCTCTTTTTAGGGTCTAGCCTAGAATTATCACATCTGCGAAACTGCTATTTTCTTTTTCGCAATGATTTTTAGATTAGTTTTCATGTTATCTGTAAGAGTTTAGGGTACAGAGAAAAGAGGGAGTTGGGAAAGAAACCAATGCCAGACCTTCAACAGATTATGATTGCATATATTTAGCAGATGGCAACAGCAGCCTTTCAGCAGGATATAGGCTACTGCGCCCACCCAGGAAAGCGCTGATCCAAGGCTATAGAGTATGGAGAGAGGGACTTAGGAATGCTCAAGTTAAAAAAACAGCTGCAGTGGATACATGGAGATTAGGACATTCTTGGGAAGTATATGACCCTGTTCTTCCTGGCACCATTTGTTCCAGTTTATCTTGAGAACCAGGGATTTATGGTCTCCTTTTCCTGGACTTGTTTCCTAAGCAAGATAGGCTGTGTTGGGAAACAGGCTGTCTCCACAAATAGCCCTCCCAGGACGAAGGGGAGTGACTGATTGATAAAGCCAGGGCAGTCTTCAGAGGGCTTCTGGTTTTCTGCAACCAGGGCATTCTCTCATTATCAAAGTAATATATTAATAACAGATTAAAATCTATAGACCAATATGGTGGCTCATGCCTATAATCCCAGTATTCATGAGGCTGAGACAGGAAGATCTAGAGTTCAAGGCCAGCCTGGGGCTACAGAGTGAGACTGTGCCCCCCCATCTAAATAATCCTGTAAACCTTATAATAAAATCAGTAATAAAATTACTTTTCTAATTCCACTCCTGGCAGGAAAAGCAAAATTAAATAGTCTATGTGTTATGTTTCTCATTCTTGATATGAAATACCTGACAAAAGCAACTTAAGGAAGAAGGGTTTATTTTAGTTCATGGTTTGAAGGTGTAGTCCACCATGGTAGAGAAGACATGGCATCAGGAACGAGGCAGTTGGTTACATTGCATCTACAGTCATGAAACATAGATAAATGCTTACTTATATAGCATTTATCTACTTAGCTTACTTTCTCTTTTTTGTTCAGCCCCTGGAATGATGCTGCCTACGTTCAAGGGTGGGTCTTCCCACTGTGTTTAAACCTCTTTATAAATACATACCCAGAGATGTGGCTCTTAGGTAATCCTAAATCCCATCAAGTTGACAGTCAAGCTTCACCGTCACAGCATATTTAGAGTACATAAATTGTGACATAAGTGTGCCCTATGAATCCCATGATTGTAATTGAGATTATAATCAATTTATTGCTCTGTTTTTTGTGCCCCTTAGTAAGCCTGCCTCAGTTGTACTGTATTTCCACTGCCCACCTGCTCCTCCACACCCATGAGCATTTTTTATGAACTGTTGTAAACACTTTCTAGGCTTTTGTATGAACTGTTTTAATCCTTTTACGCTAATTCTAACACCCATTTCTGCGTTAGTGAATATTTTTCTTACGGGTTACTTGTTTCTTTGTATGCCTGGTAATATTTGCTTGGATACATTATGATTTTTATATTGTTGAGCACTAGATATTTTTTGTATTTTCCATAACTAGTCTTGAGTTTTGTTCTGAGATTCAGTTAAGCTACTGAGAAATAATTGGATCCTTTTGGATTTTGTTTTTATTGTTTGCCAGATGTGTCTGGAAGAGGCTCAGTTTAGGAATACTCTTATACCTAGGCAGATCTTTTTTAGATTATTTAATGCTTAGAGAAATAAGAATTTTCTCATTCTGGTATATGAAAAATAGGCTCTGTTTTCCCCCTGTGTGAGCATGAGGTACAGTTCCCTCCTGTTGTGGGGTGATTTCCTCAAATGCATATGCAGATCAATCCTCTACTGAATAGGAAAGGGGTCCTTCATAAGTTTCAGAGCTCTTCTTCCCTGATGCTGTCTTTTTACCCTCTCCTGTGAAATCTAGTCATCTTGATTTTCCTAGATTCTCAGCCCTGTTTCCTCAATTCAGGGAGTCTGCTAGCCTCCCCAGGTCTTCTCCACCCCCACCCCCACCCGTGCTGTAATCTAAATAAATGCTCCAGAACTAGAGTGATCATAGGAATCATCATTTATTTCTTTGTCTGTGTCTTGAAAGTCATGTTTCACATATTCTGTTTTTGTTTGAGGCAGGAGGACAGATCTGGTCTCTATTTTCTGTGCAATATATATGTGTGTATATACATATACACATAGCTGAACTTTGATATCTATGGGAGATTAGTTCCAGGACATCTCAGTGGATATCAACATCTGCATATGCTCATCCCTTATCTAAAATGGCATAGTATTTGCATATAACCTATATATATCCTTCAGTATACCTTGTCATCTCTAGATTACTTATAATACCTAACACAATGTAAATACTATGTAAATAGCTTTTATACTGAATTGTTTAGGGAATGATGACAAGAGAAAGATTGTGCTTAGTACACACATTTCAAAAAGTATTTTCTATATGTGGTAAGTTAGATCTATCAATGCAGAATTCACATATGTGAAGGACCAACTATATATGATTATTTTTACAGTATTACATGTAATTAGAGTAGCCTAAATATTCAGCAACAGAAGTCTAGTTAATAGAGACCTGACTGACTAAACTCTGGTACAAATTTTCAAATACTTTAATTAAATAACTCACCAATATTATGCCCAACCTTTGGCTTATTGAATTGCCTAGTTTTCCTTCTTGGAAATTTCCTGTAGATTTTGGATCTCCTGCTTCATTCTAGATTGTGTGGTCACTGGTCCTTTTTGAATAGCAGTAATCTTGGGCCTTTTTTTTACTCTCCGATGTTACAGCCTGTTTCTTGGATTTCGTAGAATCTTTTCTCATGATTAGCTTTCTTGTTTTGGTTCATTATATTATGCATTTGGTTCCAGAGAAAAGATTTGTTGCAAGTATACTTTTCAATCCTTGATTTTTTGAAAACATCTTTCTACATTCTCAATTAATTGATAGTTTATCTTGTTCGTAGCACCTATGTTTTTGAAAATCATTCATTTGTAATATTGAAAAATAATGCCAGTTGATTCACTTATAATCATATTTGTAAAGTATTAACTATTTCTTTCTTTGTTACTATTATTTTTTTGCTGCTTGGGTTTTTATTATTTTTTGCTCTTCATGTTTGAACTTTGTTTTTAAATTTTTTATTACATTTTATTTATGTGAGAGAGAGAGAGAATGTGTGTGTGTGTGTGTGTGTGTGTGTTTGTTCGCACATATGCATACCACAGCACATGTGGAGGTCAGAGGACATCTTCCCTGACTCATTTTCTCCTTCCACCGTGTGGGTCCTGTGGATTGAACTCAAATCGTTAGTCTTGGCAGCAAGCGCCCTTACCCCTCTGAGCCATCTCACTGGCCCTCAGGACTTTTTTTTTTTTTTTTTTTTTTTTTTTTTAATAGAGATGAGAACAAGCTAGGTGTGGTGGTGCACACCTTTAGTCCCAGCACTTGGGAGGCAGAGACAGACGGATCCCTGCAAGATCGAGTCCAGCCTGGTCTTCATAGCCTATTACAGGCCAGCTGGGAGTACAGGAGAACCTGCCTCAAAAAGACCAAATATAAATGAATAAATAAATAATAAGAAAGATAACAAAAATCATGTAAGAGCCATCATGTTACAAAAGATTAATTTTTTAGAGTGATTTTTAAAATATTTTTAATATTTGTGTTTCATACAAAACATCCTAATCTTCTTTGTTCCCCCTTCTCCATCTGCAACTTCCCATAGTGCCCCCCCCACTGGATTTCATGCATTCTGTCATTTATATTAAGGCCTATTGTGTCAAGTTAGTATACCAAGACATCCCCCAGTGGATACCGTGGAGAGAGAGGCCTGCAGGTTGGAGAGAAGCCTGTGGGTCGTGCAGGCCCAGGGAAGCAGAGGGAGGTGAGGGCTGGGAACCTTAGAAGGAACTGGGTTGCTCTGGATGCAAAGGACCAGGAAGCATTGGTGGTTCCCCAGGTGTCTGGGGCGCCAAGACAGGGAATGGTACAGGACCCAGGCTAGGAGGAGAGACTGTCAGGGGAGATGGAAGGGTGAATGAGGCTGCGGAGGGCGTGATCGACTTACCTCGGAGAGAGAGGCCTGCAGGTCGGAGAGCACAAAAAATTAATTTAAAGAATCCATTGCCTCACATTGTCCTAGAAACTAAAAACATTACCAGAAAATGTGGATTCCCAATTGTTTTTTTTTTTTTTTTTGAGACAGGGTCTCCCTATAGCCTCAACTGGGCTGAAACTCACTATGTAGACCAGGCTGGCTTTGAACTCACAAGGATCCACCTGCCTCTGCCTTCCACGTGCTGGGATTAAAGGCCTGCCCCACCTGGCCCAGCCCCAGTTTGTTACTTTCAATCCCACAGACAAAAATTATCTGAGTTGTGTATTCATATTATCTTTCCACTTACCATGAACCACGATTTAAGCGGCACTGCTATAGACTTCCTTCTCTTTTTTGCTGCTATGCCTCTAAGGTTCTTTCTGGGCTCCTTTTCTTGCTTGTAGATTTAAAAATTTCCTCTTAAGTGGATGTACTGTAAATAATTTGTAGTATCATTTATTAAAAAATATCTTTCTGGGGCTGGAGAGATGGCTCTGCGGTCAAAAACACTGGTGGTTCTTGCAGAAGACCTGGATTCGAATCTCAGAACCCACATGGCAGCTAACAACGGTCCATAACTCCAGTCCCAGGGGATTCGACATCCTCTTCTGACCTCTGTGGGCATTGCACAACACGGGTGCGCTTACCTACATGCAGGCAATACATGCATACACATAAAATAAAAATAATATATAAAAAATTTTTTTAAATGTCTGTCTTTGTAGTTTTTGAGAAATTTTTATTGAATTAAGTTTTTCAGTACCTTGAAGACACCTTCCCAGTCTTTCTAAGGAGTTCCTTATTTTACTGTTTTTAAAGACCAGATGAATGTGTTTTTAGTGTTACTGGTTAATATAAATATCTTCTTGTGTTTTTCTTCTGTAGGGAATACAGTGAGTAACTTGATTATGATCATACCTCCAATTTTTGGTGGAATTCAGAGCATTAGAGATGGACTGGAGAAGCGGTATGTTGCTGCTTATCTAGCACTCACAGGTATGTAGAATACTTCATCTGAAAAAATGCTGCGCAGATGGGCCATTTTTCTTTCTTGTTTCTGAATGCAGTTACTTGATACACAACTTGGACACATTTTGAAACATTAGAGTGGAAACCTCACAAATGTTGCCAGTGACTTGAACTATATACTTCTAAATCAATTTTTTTTCTTTTACTTTTTTCTTTTATTTATTTTTTTCCCTGTGGAGCCCTGCAGACCAGCTGCAGCACCAGGCTGCCTGTTAAATCAATTTCTTTTAAAAAAAAAAAAAAATTACAGACTACTTCAACTATACAAAGAATAGAGGTAATAAAATAAACACACCCACATATCCTTCTACCTAGCTTTGCCAGATCATAACAATTTGTCATATTTGTTTCAGATCTTTTTCTATTTTTAAAAAATATTTTATTATTTTTATTTTATGTGTATGAGTGTATTGCCTGCATGTATGTGAGTGCACCCGTGTCATGCAATGCCGTAGAGGTCAGAAGAGGGCTTCAGATACCCCTGGAACTGGAGTTAGAATGGTTCGTTGCCTCCATGTGGGTGCTGGAAATTGAACCTGGGTCCTCTGGAAGAGCAGTCAGTGCTCTTAACTACTGAGCAATCTCTTCAGCCCCTCTTTTTCTATTTTTAAGGGGATATGCAACTGCACATAAAATTGAAATTTCCTGTGTATTCCTTGTGATTTTTTTTTTTTTAAAGCTGTCACCCCACCCAGGCTTCCCATCCCAGTCCTGCCTTAGTCTCTAACATGCTGGGATTATAAGCATGTGCTATTGTGCCCAGGCACAGTATTAGACTTCTGAGGACAGAGGAGTATACATGTGAACATAAAAGCATGTAAGAAAATTCTAAGAACTAACTCAGAAAAGAGTTTAGCTCTGCGGGTGTAGGACTGGTAGCTAGCTGTGCAACCCTAGTGGAGCCTGAGACCTAAGAGGCTTGTTTTGAGAATGCACATGCACACCAGGTTGGCAGGTGACCAGTTGTGCTCCTAGGTTCAAACCCAGAAGCAGCCCTATGCTAAAGGCTTGAACTATAACCTTGTTTCTTCTTGAGCCTACAACCAAAAGTATTTGCAAAAGGGTTTAGGAGGAATCACATGTATTAGGACTGTGTCAGAGAAGCTTATCTGCTAATGTTGGTCTTAGCAGTGGACTTGAAATTTGCCCTTTACTTAGGTGAAAGCTGTGAAGCATCTCATCTCATTGTAGTGGGAGAACTACCTCAACTCTGTGAGGAACTTCCAGGAGATGTGTGTCCCCCTGGGTCACCAGGATAGGCTCACCTATAAGTGTATCATAGCAGATCTTGAGGGGGTCAGTTCCAGCTCCATCCTCTGTTACTGCAATCAGAGAATTGTCACATCTGTGGAGGGGCATCTGAGGCTGGCATACTTGGGCTATCACAATAGGCTTCTAGACTTGAGTCCCTCTGAAGTGTGGGTCTTTCACAGGTCTAGGTAGCTAGGCCCCACACTAACCATGGAGCCCTGCTAAGACTCACAACAACCTAGTCTTAAAGCATTTCCTAGTGCTGAAATAGCTACAGTGGTAACAGACTTACAATATACAAATTGGTCTGCTTAGAACTACTGGACAGGCTTAGTGAAGAAGGATGGGTACAAATAAAGCCAGACTTCAGAGACTGAGATAACACCTAATTCTTCAATCAGAAGGCATCATTTCTTGTCTAAAAGCATCAAAAATAAGTAGTGAAATATGACCTCACTAGACAGACAAATAAGTTGCCAGTAATTGACCCCAGAATAATAGAGATAAGTGATCTATAAAAGATTTCAAGGAGGCTGGAGCGATGGCTCAGAGGTTAAGAACACTGGTTGTTCTTGCAGAAGACCTGGATTCAAATCCCAGGACCCACATGGCAGCTAACAACTGTCCATAACTCCAGTTCCAGGGGATCCGACAGCCTCTTTTCTCCTCCACGGGCATTGCACGACATAGGTGCACTTACCTACATGTAGGCAATATATGCACACACATAAAATAAAAATAATAAATAAATATTTTAAGAAATTATAAAAAAAAATTCCAAATCAGAACTGGAGAGATGGCTCAGCTGTTAAGAGCACTAGCTGTTCTTGCAGAGGCCCTGGGTTCAGTTCCCTGCACCCACGTGGTGCGACATGGGTGCACTTCCATATATGCAGGCAATACACTCATACACGTAAAATAAAAATAATAAATAAAATATTTTGAAAAAATAAAAAAGAATTCAAAATCATTGTTTTACGGAAGCTTAGCCAAACTTAGTAAAACATAGCAACAGTTTATAAATTTATTAGAGATATTTATCAGAAAGTTGGATATACTGTTTTGAAAACTAAACAGATCTGGGTATGGTGGCACATGCCTGTAGTCCCAGCACTTGGGAGGCAGAGGCAGATGGATCTCTGTGATTTCAAGGCCAGCCTGGTCTACATAGTGAGTTCTAGGACAGCTGGGGCTATAGGGAGACGCTGTCTCAAAAAGACCAAAAAAAAACCAAAAACTAAACAGAAATTATGGAGTTGAAAAACATAATGAAAGAAATGAAAAAAAATCGATCATACAGAAGAAAAATTTTGAATTAAAGACAGGTTATTTGAAAATAGGCAGTTGGGAGACTAAAAGAACAAAGAATGAAAAAGTTTTAAGGAAATTGTAGAATAGTATCAAAACATATGTATGAATCATTTGAGTTCGTGAAAGAATAGAAGGCAATGGCATAGAACAAAAAATTTTTAGGACTGGAGATATAGCTCAGTTGGTAGAGTGCTTGCCTACCATGCACAAAGCCCTGGGCTTGATCCCCAGCACTGCACAAACCAGGTGTGATGGTTCATGACAGTAATCTGAGCAGTCAGGAGAATGGAAAGTACAGGGTCACCTTTGCTACATAATAAGTTTGAGGTCAGCCTAGGCTACTTGAGACACTGTCTTTAGAGAGAGGGAGAGGGAGAGGAAAAGAGAGAGAAAGGGAGGGGGGGGAGAGAGACTGCAATACAATAGGCAAAAAAGGGGACTTTAACACCCTTTGTGCAGCAGTGGACAGATTATCCAGCCAAAATCAGCAAAGAATCAGATTTAAATTGCACTATAACTGGGCATGGTGGCACACACCTTTAATCACAGCACTCAGGTAGGTGGATCTTGGTAAGTTAAAGGTCTACATAGTAAATTTCAGGCCAGCCAGGGGTTACATAATGAGACTCTGCCTGAAAGAAGTATTTAAAGTATAAATAGGTAAAATAAATAAATAAGTAAATAAATAAATAAATTGTACGATACACCAAATAGACCTAACAAACATTTACAGAACGTTCTGCCCAATGGCTATAGAATTACATATTTATCTCAAGAACACATGGAACTTTCTCCAGGATAGATTGTATGTTAGGTCACAAAACAAGTCTTAACAATTTAAGATTGAAATTATTTCAAGAATGCTTTCTGAGCAGAATGGTGTAAAACTACAAATAAGAGCAAAATGGTTAGGAACTTTGCAAATGTGCAAAAACTAAAGTTTATGTTCCTAAATAACTAGTGAGTTAATGAAATAAAACAAACATAATGTATGAAAACCTGTGGGAGTGGGAGATAGCAAAAGCCGTTTTAAAAGGGTATTTATAGCAGTAGATGCATATATCAAGAAGACTACAAATAACTTAATATTGCACCTCACAGAAGTAGAAAAACAAAGCAAAATAGACCCCCAAAATAGTAAAAGAAAGGAAATAATAAAGATCAAAGCATAAACAAGAGACTAAAAAAAGTACATATGGTCAGTAAAATGAGGATGATGAATCACAACTGATACTACAGGAATAAAGACTCATAAGGAACTATTACAAATAATTATATGCTAACAAATTAGATAAACTAGAGGAAATGCATAAATTCCTAGACACATGTGGTTTGCTAAGTGTTCATAAAGATGGCATCTGCAATCACTGGGGCAAAGGAAAAATGCTTTAATTGGTAGTGGGAAAAAGTATGTACCTTATATCATACACAAAATAAATCCTAAATTGTTCAGAAACCTAAATATAAAAGCTAAAATATTACATGTTCTAAAAGAAAATTTGTGAATTCATGTTTAATATTTGGAAAAGACGTTCTGTGACTCACCATCCAGATGTAAGAAAAGATGAACAAATTGAACTATGCAAGAAACTATGATTTTAAAAAAAAGTATTAACAAAAGGCCAAATAGTGAAATATTTGTAGTCCACACCACAATAAACGGTTTAATATTCCTAATACCAAAATATTTTTTAGCGGGCCTGGAGAGATGGCTCAGTAGTTATGAGCACTGACTCCTCTTGCAGAGAACTTAAGTTGGGTTCTTAGCACCTACATTAGGCATCTCCCAACCAGCTGTGTGTAACTCCAGCTCCAGGGTATCCAATGTCCTCTTCTGGCCTCCTCATTCATTCCCACACACTGACTCACACAGGTATACAAACACGTAAACATCCATAAACATATAAAGAAACTTTAAAAAATTTAAAAATATTGAATATCAAAGGATTAATATCCATGAAGTATAAAAATACAAAAAGTACTTCACTAATGGGATTGATTGAGTGGGTTAATTTTTTAAAGAAAGACATGACGCTAGGAGGGAGGGGGGTGTGAGGGGAATTTGGGAGTAGTTGGAGGGGGAGAATAGGGGATGAATATAATTGAAGTACATAGTACGCATGTATGAAATTCTCAAAGAATAAATTTAAAGTATCAGAAAAATACAGAAGTAGCCAACAAGTATAAGAAAATGTATTCAGTTTATTTGTAAAAAGAGAAATGCAAGGACCCTACAGTGATATATATTATTTCTCATTTATCAGATTTGCAGAAAGACACGTTAACATCACAATATTTTGGCAAGGTTGTGGGAAAAAGAGATATTCTTCATATATTGCCAATGGTAATGCAAAATTTTTGTAACTGGATTTGGCATTTTAGTAAAACTGTGTATATATTTACCC